TGGTGTCTCTCTTATATATATAGTAGTTGGGCTATATATACCCCAAAAATTTTTAAAAACATTCCTTCAATGAAGATTGAAAAGCAGAAACTCTCTCTTCCTATTTCTAACCATGATGAGGTTACAGAGGAACAACATGTAAAACATGGCTATCTTTTTGGTGGCAACAGAAGGTTTTTAGTTGTTGGACCAAGTGGTTGTGGCAAAACTAATGTTTTACTATCTTTAATTGAGCATCCAAATGGTCTAAGATTTGAGAATATATATTTATATTCCAAGTCGTTGTATCAACCAAAGTATGTATATTTGCGAAACTTGGTTGAGCCAATAAAGGAAATTGGCTTTGAAGAATTTAATGATCCCAATAATGTACCATCTCCTGATGATATTAAAGAAAATTCAGTAGTTATTTTTGATGATATTCCATCGTGTGATCAAAAAATTATACAAAAGTATTTTTGTTATGGAAGGCATAAAAATATAGATTGTTTTTATTTATGCCAAACATATAGTGCTATTCCAAAACAATTAATTAGAGATAATTCTAATTTACTTGTAATTTTTCAACAAGACTTTACAAATTTAAAACATATCTTTGACGATCATGTTAATATAGACATGACATTCCACCAATTTAAAGATTTGTGCTCATTCTGCTGGAAAGACAGATATGGATTTCTTGTCATTGATAAAGACTCTCCTAAATCAATGGGTCGATATCGGTATGGGTTCGATAAGTATATAAGGCTTTAAACTAATATTCCTAGTACACAATGGATCCTAAAGTTACGCGAAAACTGCTTTTATCACGACAAGCGTTGAAGAAAAAGTATCGTAGTTTAAAACATGACATAGCTCAGTCTCAGTCTGCTTTAGAAAAAAATTATAAACCTATTACTCAACCACTTAATGAACTTTTACACAAACTGGAAACCGTTCCATCTATTAAACAAGAACCACAATATTCATTTGATAAATCAATCAAGTTGAGTACACCAAAAGACTACAAAATGCGAAAATCCAATTATCGCTTAGCTTTTTCTTCTCCAAATACGAGTGTACTTCCTGGGGGATCAAAAACACCTACCAATTTTGGAGATGAATCTATTATTCCAAGGAAAAGCACTGCACCAGAAGAAACTTTTCAATCAGAAGGACAAAACTAATACCACAGATGAGGATATTAATCGGTATTTTGAAGATACGCTTAGAGAATTTAATCAAATGATTACAAATCCAGATATAATGAATCAATTTTATGAGAATTATGCATCACCCTTACCAAAGAAATATATTAAAGCTAACATTGAAGACACAAAAGGTGATTTTGACCATGATTTAGGAGTTTACCATGATTTGGAAACTGAAAAATTTTCTATTGGAAATTCTCTAATTGATTTTGATGGCGCAGATCTTATTATTAATAATATAAGATACAAGGGAACTCCAGGGCTGTACGAGCTTTTATTTAAAACGAATCCAGTATCGTTTAAAAAACCAGATGTTAATGAATATGTTGATATTTTACGTAGAACAAATGCGATATATAGAAACAATAATCCTGACTTACCTATAAAAAGTATTCCATCAAAAATAAAGGATAAATATAACTTTATTATTAAACCAGCTTTGGAAACAAGACCACAACCATCTAGAGTTCGTTTAAGTTCACTTCCTGGAAATTTAGCGCAGGGACCGGTTACCCGAAATTTAGCTAAACATTATAAAAAAAGGGGTGGTGCACTTTTCAGAAAATATAGTGGGAAGCCATTAGAGTATAAATACTTTGATAATTTTAATGAAATAATAGATAGATTAAGATTATTAATCGCATCACAAGCTGCCGGAAACGACGGACACGTGAATGAAATTATATCTATAATTGAAGAACTTCGAGAAGGTGGAATAATACAGTAATGCCAATAAATCGTTTCGGAACTCACTTTTTATCCGAGTCAAAAACTTGTAGTGATGATATTTCAGTACCCTTATATTTTACATCTAATCCAGAAACTTTTTTTAGCAAAAGTTTTTATCGTATACGAGGACATGAAAATTTAAAAATTAATAAAAACTATTATATTTTGGAAAACATGAAGACCACTTTTCCATTTCCGTTTAGTTGTAAAATTGAATCCGTTTTAAAAATACTTTACTCCGATGGAGTTGTTAAAATTAATTCTAAAACATATAAATTGAATGAATTGGTTGGTGTTCAAATAAAAAAGGGAGATATAATTCAATTCAAGTTATCCAATTTACCTTTAATAATTGTAGACTTTATTTTCCAGTGTCCTTTAGAAAAAGATATATAAACACGAGAGTCTAGATATAATTATCAAAATGCCTGTAAGTAAATTTGGTAATCATTATTTAAAATCGTGTAAAGATTTATCAAGACCGAGTAAACTATATTTTGTTTGCGACGCTTCTACATTTTACAGTAAATTCGTTTTAACACTAAGAGGAGAAAAAAAATTAAATTTGAATAAAGAATACTATGTTCTTGAAAATGGTGGAACAGCTTATGTTTTTTCCGTAAACGGAAAAATAGAGAGCATACAACATTATGCATTTGATGCCCCAGTAATATTAAATTCTGTACAGTATAAATACCATGAATTAATAGGTAAAACTTTTCAGAAAGGTGATAAAATTTCATTTAAATTAGGCACTCATCCCAACGTATTGGTGCATATAACTATCCAATGTCCTTTAGAAAAAAATGTCTAAAAGTCAAGTAATTGAAGAGATACATAGACCAGCGAGAAAAAATTATAGAAGAAGACATGTAATCATAAAAGGGTTAAATGATTTGGTTCAAGCAGATTTAGCCGTAATGATTCCTTATGCCAATGTGAATAAGGGATATCAATATATTCTTGTTGTTATAAATGCATTTAGCAAATTTGTGTGGGCAGAACCTGTTAAACGAAAAACGGGAATTGAGATAACTAAAGCAATGGAAAAAATTTTGAATCAAATGAAAACATTTCCAAAAAACCTTCAAACAGATTTGGGAACTGAATTTTATAACACACACTTTGCCAAGCTTATGAAGTCACGTGGTATTAACCACTACAGTACTTTTTCAAATCTTAAAGCAAGTATCGCGGAAAGAGTAATAAGAACCATAAAATCAATGTTGTGGAAACAGTTTAGTTTACAAGGGTCTTATAAATGGGTATCCAATCTTTCTGATATTGTAAAAAAATACAATAATACTAAACATTTAACTACTGGTTTTGCACCTAGCCAAGTCAATGAAAAAAATGCTAGGAATATAACTGCCTATAATTACCTTAAAACCATTGATCCCAGGAAACATAAATTAAAAGTTGGTGATTACGTCCGAATTTCAAAATATAGGAGTTTGTTTACTAAGGGTTATTTGCCCAACTGGACAAATGAGATTTTTAGAATAAGAAAAGTTAAGCAAACCAATCCAGTAACTTATTTGTTGGAAGATTCACGAAAAGAAGAAATTCAAGGTGCTTTTTACAGCGAAGAATTACAAAAAACCCGGTTTCCTGATATTTATTTAGTGGAGAAGGTGTTAAGAAGGAAAGGCAACAAGGTATATGTAAAATGGTTGGGAATGGATAGCACACATAATTCATGGATTCATAAAACTAATGTAGTAAATTAAGTTTTGTAATAAAATATTAATAAAACAGTTTTTTATAAATGTGTTTAATTTTTACATTTAATATACAATACAAATTATGTAATTTTTCCTACAAAAATACAAATTTTATTTTAAAATAATTTTATTTTTATACTTTTCTTGAAAGATAGGATTCATACTTTTAGCAAATTCTTCTATTCTACGATGAAATCTAGCTCTATCAGAAGCAAAGAATTCCCAATATTTAGTTCTGCATGGACAATTGACTTCAACGTAGTGGATACGGACATTTTCGTTAAATTTGACCATTTAATACACCCGGATACCTATAAAGTAACTCCATAGCCAGACCATAAGTCGTCTTATTTATGTTTTTTATTGGCTCCATAATTTTAAGTCCAGATTCAATGGGGTCCGTAAGATCAATACCCAACTTTAAGATTTTTAGAGAATTGGTAAATTCTTCTTTTTTCAGAATTTCTAAATGATAATTAATAAGCGGTAGTATTTTCCATATTGACGCGATTGAATTAGCACCCAAAATAATCTGTGATTTACCTTTGGTGATTTTTACAACTAACATGCATGGAAGCTGCATGAATTCTAGCAGAAAATTTTCATCTTTAATTGGTTGTTGATGATTTCCAGCCATAAAACTATCAATCACATTTTTATGAGATAAAAAGTTGATCCAATCCGTTTGACTGAATAATACACAATCATGTTTATATCCACTGATAATAACGCTTGGTTCAAAGTTGAATTCGTGTGCCAAACAAGTTGATATATATTTTGTATTTGATGGATTTAGAAAAAATTGACGTTCACCCAACAACACGTTAGACATCTGTACATTAGCACTCATTGTTTAAGACTAAATAACATGCATGATTCAAAGTTTTTTATACCTAATTTTTATCCCCACTCTTAAATTACTCATGTCATGTCGAAACATGTCCTTAATTGAAGTTGCTGCATAAAATACGTCCGGTGTAAGCACCAAATGTCAGGTGCAATATTTAATAAATTCCATATATGCACAAAACGACAGGTACAACATTTAATAGGACACTATATGCACAAAACAACATACGCCCGCAGGTGTTTGCTCCCGACTGCTCTCATACCAACCCATATCCAATATTCTCTCATATGCTACAAATGGACAGCTGCAACAAACAGGTTTGCTTGTATCCCGACTGCTCTCATGCCAACCCCATATCCGATATTCTCTCATGTGCTACAAATCGACAGGTGCAACAAACTGGTTTTACAAATCAACAGGTTTTAAAAATCGACAGGTGCAATAAACCGGTTTGCTTGTATCCGGACTGCTCTCATGCCAACCCCATATCCGATATCCTCCCATTTCCTATCTACTCGAGTCGTTTGATGTAATAGGTTCTAATCCTCTGTCTCCTTTTTTCCAACCATATTTTAATGGATCCAGAGGATTAGAATACCACGCTTGTATTTGATGAAACACTCTGAAACAGTGTTCATCAGTTGCATTTTCCTTTGGAGGTAATTTTTGCACCTTAAAGGACTTTTTTGAGGCGGACCTTTGAAATTGATTAAACCTCATCTCATTTAACGAAAATTCACAGTTATTTTTTTTCTAAATTCTTATCTAATTTAGTCGAATATAATTCTTTTATAATTTTTTTACCATTTAAAGTTATAATTTTTTTATCAGCCGATTTATCAACAAAACAAATCCACATTTTATTAAAATTTCTTCATCTACATTAAAAATACTTGAATTCTCTTGCTATAACTGTAAAATGTATAACCGGCTTGTTATACAGATTGTAACTGAAGCATCTGTATAAAAATTGTAACCGTCAAATATCCCCACTATATGTACATCCGGTTCTTTTGCTTATTCTCTTGCTTCTTTTCAAAACAGAACACGTATATATATACAATGCTCAGGGGCGGCTACAACTTTAATTGTTTATAAATAAAAAATAGTACTTTTTTAAAATTAAACAATGAGGGGAAAAAAAATATTTTTTTTGGAATATCTCAAGGTATAAAATGAAAATTTAAATCTCAAAGAAGACAAATCACTTTGAAAAATCTTTCTACCATTTTTTAAAAAAAAGTTACAGCATTTAAAAATTTTGGTCGTGGGAACAACAAATGAATGTTTCTCTCAGCAACAAATTAACGAATTTTACTTTCCAAAATTTCATTCGATAGGGAATCAAAAGAGCTTCATTTCAAAAAATCATTTTTGAAATAAATATTGCAATTTGAAAAAACAACGATTTTCGTCTTTGAAGGCTAATTATGCATAAACTATTGGACCAAATTGAACTCACAAAAGCTTAAATGAAAGATAAAAAATAAGGAATAATATGTTATACGCAGTTTTGCTTCAAAATAATTACCTTAAATGATATATTAAAAAAAGGAAAAATATATGAATTTTTCACTGTTTTTCGTCCATAAAAAAATAACCAAAAATGTTTGGTCGCTTTTACATAAGAATTACTCAGGAAGGTTCCCTCTACAACGCCCAACTGCTACAATTAATCATGGAATTATAACAAGTTTTTTTACCCACAGCCTGGATTAACTAGCCAGAAACAAGTCACCCAGAATAGATAATCTCCCAGCGGAATTATTATTATTTTATTATTTATTTATATACGGCATCCATTTACTTACAATTTTTACAAAGTTACATCTTAAAAACAATATATTATTAAAAATAACAATCACAAGTTTTAAAAAGTTACACCTTAACAACAATAAATTATTAAAACAACAAAACACCTCAGAATAATACAGACAACCAATTTATTGTAAGATATTTTTTAGTTGTTTTTTAAACAAACTAATTTTGGAGTAAAAAATATCTATTTGTCTTGGCAAGCTATTAGCACTCCGGACCAATCGTGTAGTTGGTTCATTGATACCATAATTAGTGTGGTGAAAATGGCACCGAAAAGATTTCTGATTGTCTGTTGCTTCTACTAGGAACTTTAAGACTAACAAGCGATAAGAGTTGAGGACAATCTATAAAAACATTGATAACTTTGTGTAAGAAACATAAATATAAATTGTATAAAAATTGTATAAAATTATATAAAGAAGGTGGCCACGATATCATAATAGCGCTACAGCAGCTTATAAAAGAAATATGGATACAGAAGTCCCTTCCCCGTGATTGGAATACTTTGCACCATACACAAAAAGGGAGATATTTTTGAATGCTCTAACTATCAAGGAATTATGCTCCTAAATGCAGCATATAAAATATTCTCCAATATACTATGCCATCGTATGGCACTGTATGCATAGCAAATAATAGGACAATACCAGGCTGGTTTCAGAGGTGGTAAATCAACAATTTATCAGATTTCAACCCTGAGACAAATTCTAGAGAAAACACTGGAATACGGTGTAGACACACACCACATATTTATAGACTGCAAAGTAGCCTACGACTCTGTAAATAGAAGAGAAGTGTTTAGAGCAATGATAGACCTAGGAGTACCAAATCAGTTGGTAAGCCTAACCAAACTAACCCTTGAAAAAGTTGAACGCAGAGTATGAATTGAGGGAGAACTCTCTGAACCTTTTAATACAAATAACGGGCTACGTCAGGGACACCCACTCTCCTGTATACTATTCAATCTAGCTCTGGAAAAAGTAATATGTACGTCACAAATCACAACTACCGGTTTAATATATAATAAATCTGTGCAAATCCTATGATATGCTGATGATATTAATATTGTTGGGAGAACGAAAAACGCAGCACGAGAGGCGTATGTAGCACTAAAGGAAGCAGCTACAAAAATGGGTTTAATAATAAACATTAATAAAACGAAATACATAAAAATAGGTCCGCAACCACAAATACGACGGCCACTTCTTATAGAAAACGACGTCATCGAAGCAGTTAATGAATTTGTATACCTGGGAACACTCGTCAATACTGAAAATGACACTGGATGGACAATACTGTGGATGGAGCAAACTGACCCAGCTAGAAAAACGCTCCTTGATAGACCTATTGGTCAAAGAAGAAAAGGAAGACCCAGAACAAGATTCCTAGATAACATTGACCAAGATATGAGAAATATGGAAATACATACTTGGCGGAGGAAGGCAATGAATAGGGATGACTGGAAGAGAATTCTTGGGGAGGCTAGGACCCACACAGGGTTGTAAAGCCAAAATGATGATGATGATCTACATGATCAAATGGTTTGAAAAAAGTATGTGTACCTATATGGCATCTACCTATTTACAGTCTTCCATTTGAGATAATATACCAGATTGATAGCAAATTGAAAGTTTGTTGCAGTGGATCTTTTGCTATGTAAACCATGTTGCGATTAAGATATTATTAAGCCTTTATGTTACCATGAAAGTTGCTTTGCTATAAAACATTTAAAGAGCTTAGGGATTGCTGATTGTATGACGTATGGCCAAAGATGAAGTATACCACTGCAGTATCGAATGCATAAATATGCATATGCAAAAAATTAATAATCAGCTTAATAACAGATTTGAGAGTTGGAGCTGGATGTTCAAAGAAAAATGAATGTATAGCCCTGCAGAGGATATTATGGCCTTCATTTACCTTAATAGGTTTTCATTTGCTCTGATTTGTATATGGAGTTTTTTCTCCTGCATTCAACTGTTGTAAACAATAATTTGGGCCTCGTTACATGTTTACGTAACATGGGAAGGGTAGAGCTTCGCTTAATTTTGCTGACAAGGGGGATGGGTGGTAAATAATAAATCTGCTTACATAATACTTGAATGTTCTTACAAATTTTTACAATTACCAAAAACCAAATACACCTACATCAGACAAAGAACACACTCCAAGTTTCAAAAACAAAAATTTGCATACCTTCCATCATTTTTCCCAAGAGGTTCATCATATTTAACTCCTATCCAATATCCAGAGAGCCCTTCAACTTGTCCTGTGTACATTATTGTACCAAGTTTATCTGAAGCATTTTGAACTGACACTTTACATCTAGAGCCTATCTTTATACTTTCTGTTAATTTCTTTTCTTCTTCTTCTAACTGTTCTTTTTTCTGAATATTTTCTTGATTATATTTACCTGTAAAATAAAATGTAATTTGCCAAATGTGTCACAATGGGGTTAAATTGAAATCATTTTATGTAATTCTTTATTAATTCCACATGATTTAAGAATCTTCTCTTGTGTATTTTTATATCCATATGTAAGGAAGACAGTGATTTTATTACTGTGATATCCAGTGGTATCAATGGCCATCTCAATTTAATTCATATTGAATCCCTAAGAGTTGCTCAATTTTATTCACTTACCTAACTTATTTTTCATTAAAAATGATCGAACAGTATCACCCTTTTTTTCATATTCATCATGTGATAATTCAAACTTGGGAACATTTCCAAAATCCAGTTCATTCCTCATTAAAAAATTATCAATGACATGAAGTCTCATGCCATCTTCTAAAGGATATGAGCCTAGTAAAGCACTATTGTTCTCTAAGGAACAAATGCATTTGTTATCTTTATTAAAAGCTTGAAGCTGCATTGTGTTACAACTACCACCAGTAATTAATTCTAGTTTTACCTAAAAACAAATATTTTTAAGTTCATAACGAATTTTAAATTAATAAATTGTAGTATGATTATGACTACAATTAGAAAAAATCATTGTAGGCTAGTCACATAGTATTAAACAGAGTAACAACCTTACTTTTAAATCAGATATAGTAATATCTTTAGGAAAACGTTTTTCGTTAAAAGATAAGTCATCTTTTGATGTTGATATTTGTAAATTGACAAAATCGGATGTAACAACTTTGAAATCAGCCATAATTCTATGTTGTTTAATTTTTAACACACATTCATTTTTTGTTTTGATGGAAGCTAACTAAAAAAATTTTATTGAAAGACTGACAGTGATTTGGGTGACATGTGACATGTGGACAGTGACAGCAATGCGTCTGTCAATCAGACAGTCACAGGATAGTGTTTATTATTCTGTGCTACAGCACAGAATAATAAGCAATCAGAAGGGCCACTCTCAGATGCCGCCTTTGAAGTTTTTCAGCACGCGCGCCATGTTTTAGGAGGACACAGACATATGATTTGTGTGGTTATGTAATTGTTTATATTTATGTTTAATTATATTATATTTATGTTATTATATTTAACAATGTTAATATAATTGTATAGTATGTCTATGATTGCCGTAAGTCAAATAAACCTGGTTAATTTTTCCATACACACCACATAAACAACACTAATTTCTTTAAAATCCTCCTAAAACATGGCGGAACGTCTGCGCGGAGGAGATGCGCGTACTTAATTTTCCGTGGAGAGTGGGTATTCTGTATGTTTATTATTCTGTGGCTACAGTAAAGGCGGCTGCACAATTGAACCTCTACGTAAATCAATGTTTAGATGCACAATAACCGAGAACGAGAAGCCGCCCGGTAACGAGAACGGGAAAGTTGCCCATGTTTTAAAGACGGCTGCATAATTGCCCGGGAACGGGAACGAGAACAGAAACGGGAACGGGAAAAAAGTTAACCTCTACGTAAATCAATGTTTAGATGCACAATAACCGAGAACGAAAAGCCGTCCGGTAACGAGAACGGAAAAGTTGCCCGTGTTTTAACTTTCTCGTTCCCGTTGTGTTCCCGGAACCAATCAAAAAGCAGTATTTAAAATACTGTAAAATGCAAAATAAAAATTTGTTTACATTTTGAGTGAAGGCCGTTCTCGTTCCCGGAAACGGGAACGAGAACGGTGTCGCCAAAAAACACAATCTCGACAAAGATTGTTACTTTGGCCGGCCAATCACAGCGCTCGTTATTAAAGCTGGAAATTTATAAATCGACGGAGTGGTGAAACAGCGGCTAGAGTTGGTGACCACGATATAATAATATCATTTTATTATTATTTTATAAATTCTTAACCTCCATCGTAACTAATAATCAACGAAATAAAAATTCGAATATGTTGATAAGCAACTTTACAAAATTGTGGGCGTGCCAGACAGTTCATTTTGGTTGACAGCACAAAATTCTTCCTTTTGATTGGCCAGACGCAAGTAACGCACTGTAAAAGATGAAAGTTGACCAACTCTTCCGTTACAGTGCGTTTCGCTTACGTCCCGTCCCGTCTTGAATTTACGTTCATTTATAAATAAGAGTACACAAAAGTCTATGTTGATCTTTTTTCAGTGCGTCTGCGTCTACAGTCCGTCAAACTATAAATTCAGCTTAACTTCGGTGTCATTGGCCTCTCGGCGGAAGAGCGCTGCGAATTCTCAATTACTAAACGTATAAAAGAGCAGCGCACCTTCCGATCGGGACTTCAGTCGTCAGACACTTCAAGCCCTACTAGACCTTGTTGGTTAGTGGTGCTTCCTAGTAAAACTGTTGTTTCATTATTAATTTAAATAACCAAAGTCGTCCTTACGTTGAATCTTAACGATTACACCGACTTCGAAGATCAGCGATTATTTTCAATCCAGACGTCGAAGATATCCTAAGGCATCCTTCGTAGTCTGCTGTTATACCACAGTGCACGAAAAGCCGAATATCAGCTGTAGAATCGCTCCCCGTCAGAAACATACGCTTTTTGAAATAGAAAAACAGTAGTTTTAGAACTATTACAAATTGCGTCGAACTGACACTGACGATTTATCGAACAACGACGGTGAAAACGAGGAGAAGTCTCGACGAAGACTTATATTCGATTTCACCGCTCCGACTCAAGCCACGACGACGCTTCGGCACTTTGAACCTTATGCATTTTTCAGTAATTAGTAAACACTGGTAAAACTTATAGTGCGAAAGGTATTGTACAAAGCGACGGACTATTGCAGAGCCGATACAACGGGCATTTTTGTGCCTCTTTCTAGGAGACAGAACGCGGCGATTCCTGATAAGAAGGAAACCGACATCTCTGCAATTTTGAGGCATATACCACGCAACAGAACTCTAACACATATTGTCGTTGTAAGAAATATATTTGTCATTGTAAGAAAGCTTGAACTGTTAGAGAGTTCTGTTTGCCGGTGTCACCTCGCTTGTTGCAGATGCTCGATAGAGCTTCTTACACGAATAAGCCGGTATCTGTACGAACTCCTATACGAAGATGGATCATCGCAATACGAGATCATCTTCAAGAGCGGCGGCCGCTGAGCGTCCAGTAACTCCAGATAACGGAGAGGATGCTACGGCCGCGCGACAACGGAAACTGAAAGCATCAGCAGATTTACAATTAAGGGTAAACAAGGTGTTTTGTGCTACAAATATTTAAATGTTTTGTCACTGTCACATGTGCTGTTAATTATTTTTTTTCTTAAAATAAATTTTGTGGAACAATCTTTTTCTAATGTTGTTAAAAGAGAATAATACAAAAACTGATACAAATTTAACCCCTGTTGTTCGATTGGGTTCGAACATGACTGCAAATGCTGTAACAAGATTAGGGATAGATTAGCTAACTATTTAATATCTGATGTAGGTTCAGTACCTTGGCAGAAATATATATTAATAGGCTCCGAATTTAATTTTTTTTTATTGTAACCAATGTGTATAGTATAATGTATTATTCTTGAAAAATGAATTTTACTCAACTCGAATGAAAATAAATAGTTCTTTTGCATAGAAAAATTGCAATAAAAGATTTAGTACATCTTTTTTAAATTATAATTTGTTTTTTTGGTGGTAATGACTTCATATCTTCTACTACTCACTTCATAAAATTTAAGTCACTACTATTGTGTGTCTTTTAATTTTGACTCACAAAATTTACTAAAATTAGCTGCTACAACAGGTATCATGTCCATTGCTTACCATATTCTGCAATAGAACAACAACTTTTGTTTTGGAATGTCTCATCTTTATACCCCTTACTGCATCGATCATACATTTTTCCACTAAAGAAATTAATAGTTCGTCATAGTCATTCATTTTAATGTTAAATACCTAAAATGCTTAGACAAGAGGGTTAGATCATAGACCAAAACCAAATGGTTTTTGTCTATGGGTTAGATTATAAAAATTTGGCGGGTTTTATGATTATTAAAATTGATAGTAATAGCAGTAATAGTCTAAAATCCCACTGCAAGATCACTACATTGATAACGTAGTTAATCATACGTGATCATACTCACTTCTTCTTAAGGTGCCATCTCCATTACTTAAGGTTGGCTATAAATACAGCAAATAGCTCTCTATCTTGAGCTGTTCTTAGTAGAGTAAAGTGCCATGATATCGGATACTTGCCTATTATCGGATAGTTCTGTTTTGCTGTTCGGCGACTTGAGTCACCGAATAATATTTTAGCGTCTCAGTAAAACATAGAGGACACTAGAGTAAGGTATCCGAATTTTTGCATTACGAGTTTTTACAAGTGCTAGTCGTAAGCGCAATTTTTACACATTCAGGTAAGTTTTTAAATTTGACTATGTAGTTTAAGTTAGTCTATAATATGTCTAGTTTAATTAAGTGCATGTGGACAGTGGATTAGGTCTTATTAATCCATAAACATAACCTTCACAACAGGTGATACTTTGCCTAATATCAAATGGTCGCACTGTCTTAATATCAGATATCCGATATTAGGACAAAATATTTCTTAATTGTTTTTATATAGAATATTTTCTATCATTTCTACGTAGTTAAGGTCGTGTTAACAGTAAATTACGACATAAGAATTATGCTATAATTTTTGCACTATATCTGCTTATTTTATGTCATTTCTTACCCTTTTTTATGTCAGAAATAAAATGTCATCGAAATCCAAACAAAAACGAAAGAAATGGGATAGTAAATTCATGCATGCAGCTGTTACTGCAGTTAAAAACAAGGAATTGGGGTACTTGACACTTGAAAGAGCACTATTGTTTATTTTCAAAATAAACAATAGTGCTCTTTCAGTTTTTCTTGTGTGTTTTTTGTTTCGTTACTCTCGTTTAGTTGTTAAGTTTTAATGTTAAGTTATCGTAGAATGTTTATAACATCTAAAAAAAAACCTACAAATTGTTTTTTGAACTGATGATGCTTTTAAAAATAAAAGCGAAACGTATTCTAATAAATCAATGAAGTAGTTGACGACTTTCATTTGCCAATTATTGACCGATACAACCTCTGCTATTCAACTATTGAATATATTTTAAATTTAATCAACGGTCGTATTTTTTGCTATGTCTATATATATATATATATATATATATATATATATATATATATTATATATATATATATATATATATATATTATTGTGATATTCAAAGTCTTGGTGTGCCAAGCAATTAATTAGCTAATTAATTAATTAATTAATTTAAATTATTTAAATGATATGACTATGATTTTATCACACTTTTTAATTCTCTTATCTCAGGGTTATGTTCGTGTTTCAATATCTATGCTATTACATGTGAAAGGTAAGGTCCAAAGAATACCGGAATAATAAAAAACATATAGGATCTAACATTATATATTGAAATAAAAATAATGAAATAAAAGTCACACTCAAATGTTTTCAATAAACAATATCTCATATAATGATTCTCAAAATTTTGTTCTACGTACGTGAACCTTCAAAATTAATGGTACAAACAATATTAGTTAAACTCTCAAAATCTCAATTATCATTCTAAATGTCCTAATCAAATTATTTATATCTTTTCCAAAGCAATTGTAAAAATTGTGTTACCAATGAAAGAAAAACTGCAGAAAAAAACAAAACGATCTCTCTCTGTTGACTAGTGGTCCAAATCCTTATTCCTTTTAGCCGATACTATCTATTCTTAGCAGCTCCCTAGGTAATCAGCAATCTTACAACAAATTGTTGCAAGTTTATCGTCCTTAATGATCTCCTTCAAATGCACGAATCATTCAAATTATGATAGCCTTCTCCTCTCGATAAACTGAA